AGAACGAAAATACATCGCGACGCATCCGCAATAGGCCCCGATTGTGAATCCGCACCTTGCTGTGCAAGGTCACGATCAAAGTCCTGTCCGGCTGGCCCGCGAAGGGCAGGACAGCGCGCGGTGCTTTCAAGGGTCGAGGTGCGCCTTCGCCGCCCGGCGGACTTCACCGCCAAGCGGAAACATTCAGGAGCAACACTTTGCCGTGTCTCCTCGTTGCCAGCTAGAGATTGCCACTCTTCCAACCCACTTCACGATCGCAAGCCTTTCCAACATCTAAGGTGGCGATCCACAGCTCTTCCCCCCCATTCAAACTACTTTTCCGATAACCGTCCTGACGACGTGTACGGCGTCTGAGCACCCCCTGTTGGATCTGAAGCCAAGCTGTTATTGTTCGATAGTTTCGCGTTGTAGAATACTGTGCTAAACAACTTCGCCATCATTGGTAATATTGTTATCGGCCTGTAGTCTTTAGGAAGAGTCGAGTCGCCCTTCTTGAACAAGACGCGAAACTTCGTAATCTCCATTCCACTGGCGACTGCAGAGCACCTTGATGTGCAGGTTGGGGCTATCAGGCCCCTATCGGCGATCAATGGGCGATTGGGGGTTGATGCGTCCTCCCCTATGGCTAACTATCCCCCCCTTTCGTTGCCCCCGATCTTGCCATCGCTCGGACGTCCATTCACATTGCATTTTTCGGTTTCCTGCGTGCTTGTTGTTTTGGGGGCCAGATCCAGGATGCTCCTCGATGGTACTCGCCGAGGAAGACATGTACACGTCCGAGCGATGCCAAGACCTTGTTGTAGTTGTAGGTGACAGGCTGCCACTTGCCTGGGCATCCTCGGCCGAAGGGCCGAGAAAAATAGTGACGAAACCAGCAACGAGTCGCCAAAGGTCACTCCTGGCCAAGAGTCTCCCCACCTCAGCCTCTAGAGCGCGAAGGCGGCGGCGGCGGCGAAGACGGGGGCCTCGAGGCGGCCAGGGCGAGCGGGGAGTAAGACGAAGCCAGGACGAAGATAATTTCGGGTGAAAATAAATCGAGAATCTCTGACATCCGGCGGCTCTGGGGAATGTATCGGGCGCTGCGGCCTTCTCAGAGTGTGCCGGAAACGCTCTGAGAGCTTTCTGGAACGCCCTGGGACGGATGTATTCTCGTCTTAGCCTTAGTCGGGCATGTCCCGATACAGGCAGATTTTTACAAGAAAAATCAAAACAGTCGAAAATAATGCAAACATATTAAAACATGGTCGAAGCATCGTCCGTAGACTGCTGTTTGTATCTGTTTTTGAACACTCGCCCTGGAGAAGGATATGCCCGACTTAATCCTGGCCTCGTCCGAGACAGGCTGCCAGGGCGGCACCCGGGAGCGCCGCCCTCTGGGAAGGCGGCGGCGGCGGAGAGGCGGGGCCGAGGCGCCGCCGATGCCGCCCCGCCCGCGGCAGTACAGTCGGGGCGTTGACCTAAGGAACCCTAAGTAAGGAACGAGGCCCCTTTTTTCCATACGTTAAACTTCGATTTCCTATCGAAAACATAAGGGAAACATACGACAAGCTGTGAAACACTTAAGGAACGCGGAGCCCCTCCCCAACCAAAAGGGTTCCTTCTTCAGGGCCCCGATTGTAGGAGAGAACCAGCCTCGAACTCATCCCTATCCCTAACCTAAGATGGGCAAGCAGAAAGCGACGACAATCTTGGGGGCGTGCCCTCAGAAACTCAGTTCAGTTCAGCCTGTGTGCCAGCTCCGCGGGAGCGGTTCCCTAAAGGGCAGGCGGTGCTCAAGACTACAAGCTACATGAGAAACAAAAGAACATATAACATGCTTCGCGCACTACAAATAAACCCGCTGCTATCTCATGATGACAAAAGCTACCAGTTGCTCTGCACAACGCGTCGCCTTGGCCAACATCGTTCTCAGGGAGTCCTTAAGATCGGCACCGAGGTGAGGTGATGCGATCGCAGCGATAGGGATATCTCACACTGGTAAAGATCGGCGGTGGACGAACCTCCCTTCAGTGAATCTCCTTCTAGTGAACACGGCCCGGGACCGAAACCGACGGACCTGGACCCGCAAAAATGAGGACCGCGACGCCCTCTCGCGAGCCGAAAACGGCCAATTCGCTCATCGACGCGTCAGGGCAGGAGGCCTGTCCACCCCCGAAGAGAGAGGAGGCTGGGCGGCGGCGCGCGGCGGCGGGCGCCTCCGCCAGCTCCGCCAGCGCGGCCATGTCCCCCACGAGCTCCTCCAGCGCCGCCTCCCGGGCCTCGGCGCCCATCTCCTGGGGGAGGGGGCAGGGGGCAAGGCCTCCCGAAGAGCGGGGGCCTGCCTGGGCGACCGGGGGCCCGGGCCCTTCCATGTGCCCCCGTGCACTATGCCCCCGTCTGCAGAGCCGAGGGCCCCCCGAACAGGGGCAAGGCCGACCATGGAGAGCGGCGTTCCCCGTGCCCCCGCTTGCTGTGACCCCGTCTCTGGCGCCCCGAGCCCGAAGTGGCCGCCGGGGTTGTGGGGCAGAAGCGGCGGCAAGGCGCGTCCCGTGTGCGAGCCGCTCGGGTGTCCGGAGCGGGGTTGGGCATCCTGGATCGTCTCATTTTGCGTGTCGCGCCCACGGTGCGCGGCCATCTTTGTCACAGTTGGTGGAGCGTTTTTCCTTCGGAGGCGCAGCGTTTGGAGGGGGGTGGGGGAAGACGGATACCGCGAGTGACCACAATTGGCCGCGTGCACTCCGTTGCGGAAAACGCGGCATGTCCAGTGTCAAGCTGCACGGGGTGGGTGGGGGGTGCGAAGGGTGGGCAACGCGGGTGGGCCAGGGTGAGCAAGCGTACTCTCAAGCTCCCGAGGGTAAGGAAACTACAGAGCGCCTTGCTCACTCCCGCTCGCCCTCCCGACACGTAATTACGGGGGTAAGCTGGTGTCGAAACCCAGCGTGGGCACCGAGGCCGCCGCCCCATTGGCAGCCGAGGGTAACCGACGCGGTTGCCCCGCCCCGCCTGGTGCGCCAGGTGCGCCTGCGCCGCGCGCCCTACCTTGTGCGATAATGCGCGCCAGGTTCAGGTCGGGCATGTCCTCCTACAGGCGGATCTTGGAGGGCAAATGACAAGTAGCCAACAGATGCTCGAAAATAGTCAAACAATGATGGAAGCATGACCCCCAGACTACAGTTCTCACTACTTTCGAGCAGTCCTCCTGTAGAGGGACGTGCCCGACTCAACGCCAAGTGGGGGCAGGCCAAGGCAGGGCAGGGCAGGGCAGGGGCGGGGAAGGGATGGGTCGGCTGGGGTGTGCGGAGGCCAGGCAGTGTGGCACGATCGGGGCGAGGACGTCGACGCAGAGGATACCGTCAACCCGGATAGTGAGGATGCACGACAAGGAATGCTAGGGCCTTGGACGCCCGTTTCGAGAGCGGGGCGCGGCCAACGAAAGTGGCCAAGGCTGGACCCAGGAGGCAAGGGTACAAAGACACCCCTGGGAATGTTGCCCATCCTTACTATGCGGGTTGACTGCACCGTTGCGCAAACGGATCGGGTCTTTCAATAGCAACACCTTCGCGTCCGGAAGGTTCGCGTCGTGTCGACCCTGGCGTTGGCTGGTTCGCTGGTTGGTTACTGACACCGCGGGGATCGTTCAACCTGAACGATCTCAAGGCTCCGTAGACCCGGACACGCTAGACCCGGACACCCACCCAACATCCCTCGAAACCCATTTTTCCAAGTGCCGGCACGAACAAAATACAGCACCGCAGCATTTCCAGAATAAACGCAGACACAGGCCCCAAAAACCTGCAAGACCCCCCTAAACCTGGACACGAACCCGAATCCTGCAGTGCAGCAACCAAAACGTGCACGGGCGCGGAAAAACGTGACTTTGCAGGAAGGGATGTCGTTTCCTTGGTTTTCCGTGTCCTGGTTTGTCTGTGTCCTGGTCTCTGGGGCCTGACGATCGGCCGTCCCATTAACGCCGGATCGTTCAAGGACGGCCGATTCTGGGCCACGGTCTGCGCTCAACATTACACGCACGCGCTGGGGCCACCGCCGGTCGACACGACGCGACCTGCCGTAAACGCTTCCTCGGGCGCGCGGGCACCGGGGGGCAGCGTGGCAATAAGCAGAGGACACCCTGACCTTCCAGAGGGCTATTTTTTAGCACTGGAGACCTGGAAACCTAAAAAGCTGAGCGAAACAGCCTAAAACCAAGACGTATAATAGCTTTGTGATAGGTTTTTAAGCCGGGTGCTATCTTTTAGCCCTCCTGGAAGGTCAGGGCACGTGCTGTGTCGGCGCCCTTTGCCCTCCCCGGCCCTGCCCAGCAAGCATCGCCGTGCCTCCGCAGGCCCACTCGGTGCCCGAGGCTGGCCGGGCCAGCCATCCTGGCCACGCGCAGCTCACGAGCCCGCCCGAGCTGAAGCCCTCCTCGTTGGCCAGCCCAGCCCAGCCCCGTTCGGCCAGACCTGCTGCCTCCCTCAACTTTTTCTTCGGCCTGCGCTCGGCATGGTCTGCCCGAGGTCGACTGGAACAGGAGCCTCCCCTTAAATTGTGTGTGCTGGGCTCAATCCGTCTGCTTCCACGAGCTCGGGCCACTTTGACTTGCAGCGCTGCTTTGTCTGATCCAGCTTGGGTAAGAAGGCGCTCGCCTGTTGCAGCTCACATCCACGTACCTCGTTGCACACACACACAAGATCACCCTGCAGGTGAGTTGCGCCCTTTTGTGAGCTGTGTTGGGTCCACATCAGGTGCACAATCTAGGACCTAAGTATTTGCATTTTTCGGCTGCAGGGGGAGTCTTGGACGCCCGAATCTGCGATGCACCACGCACTCCAGCATCGACCCGCGGCTAAAATATGCATACATGTTTCCGTCGCCGTCGCCACTGCCAGTCGTCGCCATCCCCAGACCGCTGTCGTGTATCGTTTCACGACCAGCATCTCCGAGAGAGCGCGAAATAAGTTCGCTTGCCTTGGTTCCCTACAGGCGACTCCGAAACTAGAGGACCCCCCCCAGAAAAATATATC